GAAGTAGGGAGTGGAAGGAGGAAGGTGGAGTGGTTGAGAGTCTAGAGGGAGGAAGGTTCTGGTACGAGAAAGAGGGGGAAGCAGAGAGGGGGCAGCCGGGATCACCCGTAAAGTATCTTTTCTTTTGTGTATTGATGTTTTGTATTTATATGCGTCAAGTTTATGTTTATATTTTGTTATACTTGAAAATAATAAAAAAATAAAAAAATAAAAAATTTACACAGAAGTTAGATGTTCCATCTCAACACGGCAAAAGATCATGCCACTGATTTTTAATCAGAAGTGGCTGTGGAGGTCATAAAATAGAATTTGCTCCTAAGTTAAAGTCTGTTGCAAATGGACAGGATATTGAAATGTTTTTCTAACAGTTTCCGAGATTATCGGCATCAAATCTGAAAACGCTTTGAAAAGAAGACTTCCATAAGAAACAAAGTTTCACCCTATGTCAGTGATGGCAAACCTTTTAGAGACCGAGTGCCCAAACCGCAACCCAAAACCCACTTATTTATCGCAAAGTGCCAGGGCCGCATCAGCATTGTGGTGCCCTCATGGAGGGGCAGGGAGGTGCCTCTGAGTGCTGCCTCTGGCACGCAAAAACCGGGGGTGCAAAAATAGGCTACCGTGCTGCAAGGCGCAAAAACGGCCGTGCCGTGGGGTGCAGATACAAGGCGCCGCACCATGCAAGAACGGGGCAGGGCTAGTGAGTATCACGCAGCACGTGCGTGCTCGTGGCCCCGTGCACGCATGCATGCATAATGCTTCCCCCTCCCTTTTCTTCCAGTCCACCAATCAACAATGGTTGGCGACCTCTGCTCTACCACCTCTACTTGAGCTTGCTAGTCGGCCGCTTCGCCTCCTTTGTGCTGGGCAGGGCTCCTGCTCCGGGCGGCAGTGGTGGCCTGATGCACCTGCTGCTGGCGGCAGTGGCTCGTGTGCCAACAGAGAGGGCTCTGAGTGCCACCTCTGGCACGCGTGCCATAGGTTCGCTACCACTGCCATAGGTTCGCCACCACTGTCCTATGACCAATTAGATCAAATAAAGAAAAACCATAAATGATCCCACAATTTTGGGAGATCTGGGAGGCACTGCTTTTCTGGGTCAGGGTTAGCACTATGGAACAGCCTCCTCCCTGCTGATATTTTGGAGGTTTCTAAGGACAGAGTTATTGTGGAGAACCTTCTCTTGATCTTGTCATGCCACCTTCATTTTCTATTTTCATTGTTTGCAATTTTCTATTTGGGTGGTATTGTTTTACTCTTTAGAGTTGGTAAGCTGTGGATGCTTTGCTTGATATTTTTTATACTCTATATAGGCTGAAGAGTCTCTAGATTGTGTGAGTTGGATACCGTATGTAGAAAATAGGTAAATGAATACAGAAGCTGATGAGCTATGTTGCTAACAAATTGGACTCTGCTCAAATAAATCTTACCAAGCAAGGATTTTTTTGGTTTTCTAGCTGTATATTAATTGGGCATAGGTATTTCATAGCATGATGGATAAGTTTGTTTATAGGCATGTACATTGTTTGCTTTTTTTATTTTGCAATGCCTGCAGCTGATTTGTTGCTTTTCCCTAAAAGAAGAATACATACTATAATCCAAAAATATTAACCTAAAGGGGGAAAAGTCACCTGCTGCTCCTAACCTTATAACTCTATGTGCCTTCACATTTTTCAGTTCTTTAAAAACCTGCTTCTAACGTGATTCCTTTTCATTTTGTTCTTAGTCAAAAGAAATGAGTTCTTGATATAACGATAGGACTCTGGAGTTTATCATTTACAAAACAAATATATTACATAAACCAGTTTTCCCCAAACTTTGGATTAACTCTGAAAATTTCCAGCCAGCCCGGCTATTGCTCAGAATTCTGGCACTTGAAATCCAGACATATATGGAGAGATAACAACCCAGATTGGTAAACAGCAACAATGATAAATAAGAATACAGACTTAACTCAGAGCAATCAACCAACAACAAATTGAAAGGACATAGGATCAAAACATTCTGCAAATTATTCTTCATTTCTATACAAGCCTTTATCTCCATATAACTTTGAGTAAATCCGCTCCAAACTCCTGAAAAAACAAACAAGCGATGTATTTTATATTCTAAATAATTTATGATCAAGATTGGGAAAAGATTATGGCAAGGGCAAGTACCTATAATGGCCAGAAGCCATTATAGACATATTTATATCAAAGATCAGGTAAACTTGACTAAAAAAAATTATTAAGATCCTCCACTGTTTAAAAACATCTTCAAAAAAGGCAAAATAGTAAAATTTACTTGAAGTAAGATTTAGGTTTATATGGCATTTCACTGATAGGACCCAAATTCAAATGCTCATTCCAGTCTAAACTTCTCATTCCAACTTTACTTTCTTTGGATCCCCTCCACCTTCAGTTTTCTTTTCAGACCGTCTTTTCTTTAAACCTTTCATTTTTCTAGTCTGTAGTTTATCCAGGTCCTGTTTCTGCATGTGAATCCGCCCATATTTTGTCCCAAAGACATCATGAGAGACATTCTTCTTCTTCTTTGGCTAGAAATACAAGACAATGCCCAGTTTCTGATCTAGAATGACACTTCTTCAAAATGCAATCCTTTGTCCAATAACCACTGGAAAATGTCCTTCCATTACAACTTAAAATCTAATTAGTTAATTCATTATTTCATCTAATTTGAATTAATTTAGGAGAAACAAAACAAATGTCATCTGGAGAATTATATTGAAGCCTCATCTGAGGATCAAGTTCAATTCAATGCTTCGTAACTCTATTGACTTCCAATGTTCCAAGAATTTTCATCAAGAGCCATGTAGGTTGATCCACATATGAGGGAGGCACTCAAGTTAGAGGAAACTAGTTTAATTTGCAAAAAGTCTAAAAACAATGATTTAAGGATTACAAAATTAAACTAACCCTGTCATATCAGGTTAGCTCTTTATGATGTGACCTAAACCAGGGCTTTTCAACCTTTTGTACCACCTTTAGGATATGGCAACCACCTTTGTACCCATTGTACCACCTTTAGGATATGGCAACATCCGAGTACCACCAGTCGCCTAGCAAGGTGTCAAAAACCTGATGACCCCCCCCCCAAAGGAAAAAAGTGATAAAGTACAGGTAGTCCTCGACTTACAACAGTTCACTTAATGATTGTTCGAAGTTACAATGGCACTGAAAAAAGCCCCCCCCAAGCCACAGCCGAGCAAGACACCTGCCTGCCCGCCCGGTGGCGCTCTTCCTCCTGTCCGAGGTTTCCATTGTTGTGAGCATTTCTGTTGGGGATTGGCAGCGGGGGTGGGGTGGGAGGGTGTTTGGTTTTATTCCCCCCCCCCGTCTGCTGGGTGGTTGCAGCAGGTTTTGGTCATTTCACATGACCCTGGGACACTGTGACCGTCATAAATATGAATCAGTTGCCAAGTATCTGAATGTAAATCACAAGACCCTGGAGATGCTGCAACATTCCAGCTGATCGGCGCTTCTTCTGGGCTCAGCAGAAGCGCCAGGATCAGCGCCGAGCTCCAGCTGGAGCCTGGCACTGACCCTGGTGCTTCCACTGAGCCCTGACAGCCCTGCAGCTCCAGCCATCTCTCGCTCAGGCTTGTGCGGTGCTGCCACCGGTTCAGCTCATTCCCCTCCCCCGCTACCACTTTTCTAGGATGGTTGCGTACCACCTGCAAGGTGCCAATGTACCACAGGTGGTACCCGTACCACTGGTTGAAAAGCCCTGACCTAAACACATCCATAGGAGAGCCAATCTGTGTAGTGGTTAAGATAGCAGGCGGGAAACTGGAAGAGCGTGAGTTCTAGTCCTGCTTTAGGCACAAAGTCATTCTCTTTCAATCTAAGAAGGCAGCAAGTGGCAAACTACTTCCAAAATCTTGCCAAGAAAACTGCAGGGACTAGTCCAGGCAGTTGCCAGGAATCAAGACCGGCTTGAAGGCATACATACAAGGATATCCCTCCCTCAATAAAATAAATGGTGATTACAAATAAGCAAGCAGCAATCATTCCCAAAGTCCCATATTGGGATACGGTAATATTTAACAGATTTCATTTGTAATCCAAAATAATCCTTAAAGTACATTAAGAAAAATGGGATAGCACATATTAGTGGATTTAATTAAGTAAATATAACTGTAAAGAATTATGCCATGTTTCTCCGAAAAACAAGCTTCCCAGAAAACAAGACCTAGCTTGATTTTGGGGGTTGGGTCTAATATAAGCCCTACCCCAAAAATAAGCCCTACTTAAGACCCCGCCCACTCCATCCCTTTGTAGGGTTTTTTGGCAGGCTGGAGCACGTGCCTCCCCCCCCCCGTCTTGCCTGCTGCCGGTGCCACCGCTGCGAGGTGGCCTGAACGTTAAGAGTGCCAGGCAATCAGAGGCTGCCTCCTTTCTATCCCTGCCCTGGATTGGGGAATCCAGAGGGCAGGCGGAGGTGGGGAATGGTCGGGGCCTCAACCAGCAGCTTCTCTCTTTCACCCTCACCCCGAAGCAGCCTCCGGAGGCGGTCTGCACTGCCCCACGGGCTTTGCTGGTTTTCTCTTCCTCTGCAGAAGGACAGGAAAGAAAGCTGGGCGTCCCGAGACATCTCACTCTGGGAGCCGACTCAAGTTTCCCTCAGTGGGGGAGGAAGGCTTTGGAAACTGCCTTTTCATTTACATTCATCATCATGAATATTGTAATCCATCCCTTTATTTTTCAAAAAAATGATTTGTATTTACCACGACTAGCCTCCTTGATCGCCAGTGGAAAGGCGCGGTGTGAATTCTGCGCATGAGACGCGGAAATACAGACACTTGCACCCTCAAAGCTCATGCTAGTTCCTCGGTCGGGATGTGAGCGTTCAACTTCGTGGCTCAGCTAAATTCTTCAGCTCCAGCAGGCCGCAGTTCCCATCAGCTTAGGAAGCCTGGGCAATGGAAACCTTAGGCCAGGCTCCTCGCAGCTGAAGCAATCTGGCTCGCCCAGGGTCAGGTTGGCTGTCGCGGATCCCTGCAGCTCCTGGAGGCTCCAAGCGCTGTTTTTGGCATCGCTCGGTTTCCCACCCCATCCCCGCCAGGCTGATCTGGTGGGCGGAATTGCCTTCCGCCTTCCCAGCCACTGCATTGGCAGCTGATACTGCCCTCCCGAGAGGCGGTGCAGCGATTGGACAGCAGCCATGCTACAAATGGGAATAGACCATCCTCCAAACCTCAGCCTCCTCTCCATGGCGCACTGCAGCTGATCCGAAGCATTGCCTAAAACAGCGAAGCAGATGCGCACACAGACATGGTGCCAAAAACAGCGCTTGGAGCCTCCGGGAGCTGTGTGCGCCTTTGCAGTCGTCTTCCTGCAATGCGCAGCCTCTCCTTGTAAGCAATCCGGCTCACCCAGGGTCAGGTTGGCTGTCGCGGGAGGCTTGTCCCGCATGTGCGGCAGAGCTGAAGGATGGGGATGGGCCATGCCTCCGGCGACGGCCAACCTGACCCCGGGCGAGCCGGATTGCTTCAGCTGCGAGGAGCCTGGCCTAAGGTTTCCATTGCCCAGGCTTCCTGAAGCTGATGGGAACTGCGGCCTGCCGCAGCTGAAGAATTTAGCTGAGCCACGAAGTTGAACGCTCACGTAAAGCAGTGGTGCACCCTGACCGAGGAAGCAGCATGAGCTTTGAGGGTGCGAGTTTCTGTATTTCCGCAGCTCATGCGCAGAATTCACGCCGCGCCTTTCCACTGGCGATCAAGGAGGCTAGTTGTGGTAAATACAAATCATTTTTTTTTAAAAAAATAAAGGGATGGATTACAATATTGATGATGAATGTAAATGAAAAGGCAGTTTCCAAAGCCTTCCTCCCCCACTGAGGGAAACCTGAGTCGCCTGAGGGATGGGGTGGGGCGCCAGCCGGGCTGGGCCTTGTGGAGAAAAAAATAAGACACCCTCCAAAAATAAACCCTAATGGGTCTTTTGGACCAAAAATAAATATAAGACCCGGGCTTATTTTTGGGGAAACGTGGGTAGTTAAGTTGCTCTGTTCCACAAACAGAAAAATCTTTTCAATTATGTATCGCTTTCAGTTCTGCACTTGGGCAGATTTTCCTGGCCTAAACGTATAAAGATTTTTCTACTTACCTTGAGAGCTTTAGGTTGCTTTAGTGATAGCTTATAAAGATCGTCTGATGCCAAATGTGTTCTCCTTATCACCAAATCTAATGAAGGTCCCATATCTTCAAGTTCAATCCTTGGAATTTTACAACCAGACTTTTTCAATAACACCCTTGAAAATGAGACAAGGGAAAAAAAACCTTACTGATTAGTTCATCTGACATTCTGAATCCTTGTAGCAAACTTCCTCTAGACCAGTGTTTCTCAACCTTGACAATTTTAAGGCATGTGGACTTCAACTCCCAGAATTCCACAGCCAGCATTGCTGGCTGTGGAATTCTGGGAGTTGAAGTCCACATGCCTTAAAATTGTCAAGGTTGAGAAACACTGCTCTAGACAGTTCAGCACGAAGAACAAACCACTCCTATGCAGTTCATATCAATACCTCATGCCAACTTGCAAAGCTATATCAAGTTTATATTAATGGTATCAATGGACTTACTAAAATCAAGTACTGAATAAAAGATTCTGGGATCAGGACTAAGCAGAAAGGAGCACCCCACAATATTCCATACATTTTGCCTCCCAAAGGAAAATTAGCAGTCCTTTCTCCGTATATTCTTTCTGGAGAAACATTATGAGGAATAATGACCATATACTTTCGTGAGATAGAAAATACTGCTTCATTTACCATAGAGATAGCATACTTTGGCTTACTTTGCAGGAAAGTATTTTGAGGATAAAATTTATAATGTCTTTTTTGGCTATACAAGTAACTTTTAAAGGGAACAACTTCATGAGATCAAATAGTGCCGAAAAGTATTATTAAAGAGGTTATAAAATGGAAATTGAAGTTGTATATTGCAGGAAAAAAAATAACAGAAATATAACAAGAATGCAGCTTGGATAAAGAAGATAGAGAAAGAAAAAAAGGGGAGAACAGCAGACATCAGGGAGAAAAGGGCAAGGAAGATCCAAACTTGGTCAGCATCGGATAAAGACGAATTGCCGGGTTTTTGGTTGAAACATCTGACTGGGTAATTGGATTTTAGAGTCTACATTTGGAAAACAACATTACAACCAATGATGGACAAGCAAATTTCTAGACTATATTGGCACTGCAACCCATACAAGATTTTCTTTCTTCCTTCTCCTTCTGTATGCCTCCAAATCTCAAGGCTGGTTAGAAAAAAAGAAAACTTCAGCATCATTCTGCTGTGTCTAGAAGACAGCTGGATACTGTCCTCACCATCGTACACCCATTTTACCATTGGTATCATTCAGTTCTGTCTCTTTATTTTGAGCATACTCTCCCCATCTACTATTACAGCAATAGAGAGGTATGACATTCAGTTGTTCATCAGTTTATTTTTGATCCGTATTTAATTTCAAAACTAAGGACTTGGTGCAATCTAGTTTCCAAAATAGTAGCCCGAATCGTCTCATAAGAGGAATGGATTAGTTGCAGGATATCTGAGTAACTTCTTCTCCATCTATCCTTGTTGAAATTACACACAAAACAACAATCAACTGCAGCCTAACAGCAGCTAGTTGCAATTAATATACTTTTAACATACATTAATTAATATTAATTATTAATATACTTCTTGCTTCATCAGTCCCAAGTGCCCCTGCTCATACCAGTTGTTTAAAAACATGTATCTAGTGCCACATTCTACCAAAGCTGTATTAATAAATATCAGACATGACTAAGTTTGAAAAGAGAGGCACCAGGTCATACAAGGTAAACAATGTATTCTCTGTATTGTCTTTCGTCACAAATTCCTTTTATAACCTTGTCAGATACCCTGTTCTTATTGCATCTGAATTATATTCCTGCTTATTAACACTTAGTAGATTGACAACTACAATTAATTTTGAGGACATTCATGAAATTAATTAAAGCATTTAAACATTTTCAACAGTTGTAATTTCCCCATAGCGTGCAGCCTACGAGGGGCAGCAGTTTCCAAATCTTCAGACTGATATGTATATCTGATTTGTTCTTTTCTCATTATTCTCTCCACTGAGATAGTTAGTCAACCAAGCATGATATAATAGGTCTGATATTACTGGGAGATTATACAGATTGGTAAACATATACTCTGATCTTATGTTCCAACCTCCTTCTATTATCTTACAAGAGAGAGTAAAACTTTATGCCTCAGACTTTGGACAGTTGCATAACCACACGAAACTTAATGTTTATGATTGGATTCTATACAGGATTCAAAAAGAATTCTCATAGTTTGGGATATTCCAGATATGGCCATGTTGTATGAAAAATTCTGAGAATTTGTCTCAGTACTTATGTAGTAATGTGTTTTATATTCACAGAAGACAAGTGGCCCTGATATTTAAAATGTATTAAGAAACTAAGACATATGTATGTGGGTCATAATAAACCTGAACTGATATCATAGCAAAGCAGACGAAATTTGAGATCAACAGTTTGTAAATAGGTCTTGTGTCTATTTTTTTTTTCAGAAATAGAACAGCAAAGTAGAAATATCAGTATTCAACAATCACTCTATCCCAGACACCGAATTTTCTGAAGATAGCAATATGAAGCTAACAGTTAAGCCTATAACAATCCAAAATAGGTAATTAAATCTAGAAAAACCTTCAAGGGTAGAATACAGTGGGATTTTACTGCAAAGTAGGCGATATTAAGCTCTGTGTTAGCACAGTAAAGGCTAATAAATATTAACACAGTGGAAGAGCAATACTAATAAAACCAATCACAACTGGATAGCTTGAACCTCAAGGAATATTGTAGAAATAATAGTGTACCTCCTGGTTGAAAGAAGGGTACTTTCGTGAGCATTTTCTGGGGAAATCATGATTTGGGGGGAAAGAATTTGCTTGTGGGCATACGTGTTTCATATGTACATAACACTTTGTTAGTGCTGAGAATCCATAGTTTTTATCAACATGTTTAGCTTGAAAATAAAATCTGTAAGTACAATTAATATACCTGTAACATTATGTTTCTTCTAAGTAGATGAGGATTTTAGTGGTCTTTAGCCATTTCATACAGACAGCAGGTGTACCACACAATGCAATACCTGATAATCTGTGGGATAATACCATGGGAAGCCAGCCTGAAAGGATGAAATTAGACCTTTTCCCACCTAAAATGCCTCTCCTACACTCCTCTACAGATGCACCCCATCTCCAGTCCTAGTCAGCGTATGATTGCACGTTGTGGCACGTATCCAACCACCACACAGACTTACTTGTAACTTCTCATATAGACCTTTTCATCCACTGCTGTGAAATGCAGAACATGTTCTAAGCCGGCCAGACGAACGCTGGGTACAACAGGACCTCTGAAAAAATCTAAAGGGCAAAAAAGAGCAAGAGCCATTCCTTAAAAGGTGATCCAAGGATGCCGGGGATCCCTTAAGACCCTCTCCGGGGTTCGCAAAAATCAAAATTATTTGCCAGATATTAAAGATATTTGCAAAACATTTAACAATGTAACTCTTCTCATTATAATTTTTATTAATTTTAAAATAGTTTTTTCATGAAAAATATTTTATGTTAATATCAACTAGATTTAATATTATTATTTTTACGTGATTCAATAAAATTTTTCATATGGTAAATATAAATAAATAAAATACCTCATACAAAAAAAAAGGAGCTCTTTGGGGGGGTCCTTTATCATTTTTAAAAGCAAAAAGTTTAAGTAACAGGGCTGTATGACACCATCAGGTTAACTCAAATGGCTTACCAATCAGAAGGCTTTTTAACCTTCTATGTTCTTCATCAAGGTCAAAAGCATCTCCTGCAAATATCAGCATGGGCTTTGTTCCCTCTGGACACTTGCTGTTCTATTATAAAAATTAAAAGATTAAAGAACAAAAATGGTTGGCAGAGGACCAAGAGAAGGAGAAAAAGTGTCCCAGAAGACCTATCACCAGGTCACTCACAAGAGGAACAGACTGCTGGGTAGACCTTGCCAATGTTAACTGGCAGCTCTGATGTTCCTTTTTTTGGATACGTTGGGAATACACCCCCAGCTGTCATCTGTACTAACTGAGGACTGTGGGAAGTACAACCCAACGTATTTAGTGAGCAACATAGTTAAATTAAAAAAGGCAATTAAACCAGTAACCCAACAAATTAGGTACTTTAAAAGTTAACTATTGTTTGATGTGCTCTTAAAAACTGAAATGGTTGGCATAGTATTAGAAGAATGTTTCTTCTAAGACACCACACTGGCTGTGGAATTCTGGGAGTTGAAGTCCACATGCCTTAAAATTGTCAAGGTTGAGAAACACTGGTCTAAAACAAAAGTAAGTGCTTCTATATGGTTAAAAAATAAATTTCAATATAGGCAGACTTAAGCTGCTGATCTTTTACGTTTTTATTTAAATAAGGTGACAGCACCACTGGTAAACACTGCCCTGCGAATGTCAGCCAAAAGTAACAGCTTAAATATCCCGGAATTCTTGGAACAAGTAGAGCAGCTGATGGTGTCAATCAAAAGCAGTAACCCATCACAGCTGGATGGACTTGAGTACACAGTTTCAAGCCACCTGGACTGTAGCAAACTACAGCTTCTTCACTGATACCCATCACCAAGTTTCAAAAACAGATTCCATTGAAGTACAATATTGAGAACAAGCCATGGAAAAAGCTTCCTGGATAAAGATATACTCTTTCACAGATTATAGTCAACTTGAGTTTCAAGTAGTATCCCTGATTTTTCTGTATCAGATTAAAAGTGTTAACACAAAAAAGTGTTTAGTAGAAAATTAAATTAAACAGAGCTATCTGGTATAGTGGTTAAGGCATCAGGTTAGAAACTGGGAGACAGTGAGTTCCAGTTCTGCTTTAGGCATGAAGTCAGCTGGGTGACTTTAGGCCAATCATGCTCTCTCAGCTCTAGGAAGGAGCCAATGTCAAACCACTTCCAAAATCTTGTCAAGAAAACTGTAGAGACTAATCCAGGCAGTTATCAAGGCTGACTCAAAGGCACAAATAAGTAAGTATGATCAAAATACATTAAAAGAGGTCATTGGTGCTCTCTGAGCTTGCTTGTTTTCTTGCAGACATCCTCAGTGCCAGCAAGGAAAGTCTGCAAGAAAACAAGCAAGTTCAGAGAGCACCAAGGACCACTCATGTCAACCTTGAGCTACAAATATTCTCCTTTATTAATGCATTAAAAGACTGATCAAACAGCAATTTAGAAGCAGAAATCAGAGAGAAAAGAGATACACCCCCAACAAATTAAGTCAGTAAGGGCAGTGGTTCTCAACCTTTTTAATGCCGCGACCCCAACCGGTCGTAAGTCGAGGACTAAACCGGTCGTAAGTCGAGGACTAAACCGGTCGTAAGTCGAGGACTAAACCGGTCGTAAGTCGAGGACTACCCAACCGGTCGTAAGTCAAGGACTTTCCCTGCCCGGGAGCACCACGCATGCATGGTTCCGCCCCCTGCGCCGGCCGAGGCGTAGCTGGCAAGCGGCAGAGACGGAGCAGGCCGACCACCAACTGGCCCAGCCCAAGGGAGGTAAGGCACCCACCGGAAAAGGGGGAAAAAATGGTGGACAAAAAAAATGGTGGACAAAAAAAAAGGTGGACAGCCTTGCTTGGCGACCCCCGTGAAATGGTCGATCGACCCCAAATGGGGTCCCAACCCACAGGTTGAGAACCACTGCAGTAAGGGAACTGGTGATATTTTGGAATATGTCACCTTAATATCTCTGAGGGCAACAAACTTCTCAATGCCCAGTTCAATCATATCCAGAACATGATAGTCATATATACGACCTACCAAAAAAGAGTGAAAGATAATTAAAAGTTGTCCTTTGTCGATGCAATACATTTCCACTTTAGAAATAAATGCCTTTTTATGGTACATGGTTTACACATATAGTAAGTTTCTCACAAATTCTTCATGCATCTTTATGATACCTGTGAAAACATAGCTTCCATGTTTTTCCTTAAAGCATTAGAAAGTATTAGAAAACCTGACAACAAAGCAAGTCCAGCCCTATCTTTTACTGAAACTCACTCAACAACATAGTGAGTTACACTACAAGCAAACCACACTGGCGTAGTTTGCACTGAGTAATCAAACAAACATTATGGCTTTTGTTCCATGATAGAGAAACTTTGATTTCAGACAAAGTTAGCCAAGCAAATGTATCAAAACCTATCTGCATTGATTATTAACCCTGAAAGAGATGAGTTTGTATCAGCTGGCCTTGACCACAATTCCCCCACTGAGCCTTTCTTTAAATTCCATCTATTTGGCTCAAGGCAAGAACAGACTTGTTTTCACACCGAGGGGCTCTTGATCTACTTTCTCCAACTGACAATAATTATATAAATAAAATCCAGACACGTTACCTACGATCAGATTATTAGGCCTCTTCTTACTGTGAGATCCAAACAGGAACAAAGAACAATCAGACTTCTTGGAAAAAAATTCCTAATAATAAGAGCACAGAGGTTTAAATACATTGAAATGCCCCGCAGAACACAAAACCAGCTTTCAAGGCATAATTGGACTGAGCAGCTGTTATACCGCTGTAAATCTTGCCAAAAGAGAAGACTCCATTGGCTTACAATTCCCAATTCCACCTTCTCCTTGTTTAGCAATCACATTCTGATTCAACAACTTGGCCATTAAATGACATGGTTGTTAAGCAAACATGGGATAGAGACACAGCAAATAACACCAGTTGCTGCGGTCTCATTCAGATAATGTTCTCATACAGTATTCTGTGCCCGACCTGTTTCTCCTCCTTTTTTTTTTTTTTGTCCCGTTGCAGGGTGGAGAGGTTGCCTAAACAAGTTATCTTTTCCTGAGCTGCTTTTCCCTAACATCAAGTTAACATGCTTGGCTCTGTGACCTTAATTAGTTGGTAAGAATCATCTGTTGCCTAAAGTGACCAGACCCTAGATCAGTTTCACACTGAAAGCTCCTGTTGTGTGGCCTGCAAAGGTTGGTCATTGGTTGGAAAATGATTTTTTTTTTACTATTGTTTATTACAGTTTTATTTGCAAATGGTTGCTAACCAGTCACTAAATGAACAGTGACTATAAAGCACACTGATGTTACCTAGTACAGCAATAAAATGTCTGCAAGAAAATAACCAAGCTCAGAGACCACCAGTGACTCCACTATTCCAAGTTTGAGCTACAAATATTCTCTTTTATCAGTAATCTATGGAATGAATACTCTGGATCAAAATCGGCAAAGATTTTGCAATTATCCTTTTTCAGAAATTCAGAAAGAGTAACTGAACAGAAATTGTTATCACAATATATTATGTATAAAGCACTGAATACTGCATTTTTTCTCCATAGACTGACAGAGCTCTTTCAAATTCCAGTTCCTTCTGGGTTAACATAATGGCAGCTTCAAACTGAGAACAAACTTCTCTCAACTTCTTTACAAGAGAATATGCTGACCTCAGGGCAAGTTATAAACCAAAGCAATAGGATTATTGTTCCTTTTTATTCATAACTGTTCCACACCCATAATGTAACCCAGAAGAAAAAATATGTAAAAATAATATTCTCATTTTTTAGCTTATAATCAAAACATATGCTGCTTTCTCAAGCTATGGTGTGTTTCTATAAGGCCTGGAAACCGTTCTTAAGCCTTAGAAAATGTTTTTGTGGGGAAAATAGGAGGCAGAAATATGGGTAATTTGTTCTCTTGAGTTGACAAAATATAAATATTTTAAAAAGCTGGATAAAAATATAATAACAGTTATCAGAAGGATTATTAGCTATCTCTTCTCCGACAGATCCATCTAGAGGCAAAAAAAAGTATTACTAGAGAACTTAGACAATAACTAAAGCAACATTTATTTTACTTGTTTCCATGGCCCAATTCAAGCTATGTCAAGCTAACCCTTACAGTATGACTGAGAAAGAACTTGGGAAATCTAGAAATCATTTTCAGCTTAAGCTAGATATATTGTGACCCACTGGCTCATCATTCCAGAGGCATTTTCTCATAAGATTCCTCCAAATCTCCAATTAATTCCTGCCAGCTTCCCATAGGACCGAATAGAGACAGACATATAAGAAAAACAATGGAAGGGCTTCTGATGTACTTCCTTCACTGGACTTCAACATTCAGGGAGATATTCAGATATATCTGCTTTGAAAATAGTCCATGTTGAACTGTGTAGCAAACATCAGGAGTTGACCACAGTAAATGTTTTGTGACATTTTATTGTGTTATAAACTGTTTGGTGATAATTTTTATGTCATGTTTTATAAAATTTTACCGTTTCAATTCAATGGGAGGCACGGATCCTAGATTTTGGACAAATTGTCTAAGTTAGCCCATCTGAGATACATTGGTTCAAAAAATGTTGCCCTGTGGTACACCAATTTTGCCCAATTAAAAGTTATGGGAACAAGAGTTTTAGTAGTACATAGACAAACAGTAATTTAATTCACCTAACATTTGTCAGATTGCGATTAATCCTGGCATGTTTGAAACAAGTTACATTTAGTATTTAGAACTGCTTTGGATTCAGATGACAAGTTGATCATAACTTAAAACAAAAACAAAATGTTCAAACTCCTCATCATGGCAGAAGAAAATATGCAATGGGCAGTGGCACATATAGCTCTGTCTCAAAGCTGTTTGTTTCCAGTATTGTAACTAGCCTTCTTCAGTTCCTCTCCCAGGATGCTTTGAACCCAATTTCAATTATTTCTCCTACAAAGGAAGAGTTGTAGTCCAAACTTCCTGACAGTGAGGACAATTAACCAGTGGAACAGCTTGCCTCCAGAAATCGTGGGCACTCCATCACTGGAGATTTTTAAGAAGAGGCTAGACAGTCACTTGCCTGAGATGGTATAGGTCCTCCTGCTTGAGCAGGAGCTGGACTAGAAGACCTCCAAGGTCCCTTCCAGCTCTATTCTATTCTAAACTCTCTTAGTGACATCAGACATGAGAGAGCTAGTTCAGCACAATGTTGGGGATAGCCAATACAGACTGGATGTTTTGTAGCCAAATTAAATTTCACATGATTCCAGAAAGTGTTTGGATCTATTTTGCTATCTCACATACACAAGCCTAAACTTAATACTCACCAGAGAGGACTGGTCTTCAAAGGGCCTTGTAATATTCTTTCTGAAACACACAGATTTTTTAAAAACTCATAAACACCTGCTTTAACCTACCTGAAAACTAGTAACACCGCCCCCCAAAAAATACCATGTTTAATTCATATTATATGCTAAGCAAATCATGGATGCTTCCTCCTATAGCTTTCTAATTAGCAGATAGCACCCACTAGCAGAAGCCAATGGGTGCTGTCTGAACACAAGCACAGTTTAGCATGATGTGCAAACTGATCTAAAGTAAAATACTGTTATAAGTAAAATACCCGAGAACTGCAATGCCATTTGTTTTTGAGGCTGGTCATCAGGACTACCTTACCAATTCATAGAGCAACTAATTAAATGTTCTTGGGCACTTTATCAGCAAAGAATTTGTCTCCTGCTTCTGATATATCTCTTCCAAACATAGGAGCTCTCTTTCTATCACTGTTTCCAATACCAAGCTACCACTCATCTATATAAATAAAAATGTAAATGTTCGTTTGTTCAAAATCTTAAATCTCCGAAAGTTCTTCACCGATTGCTTTGAAATTTTGACAAAACGTTGCATTCGAATACGCACGTTTTTTATATACCTTCTTTTCCATTTAACCAGACTGAGCCACAGCAACGCGTGGCCGGGTACAGCTAGTTACTAATACAATTCTTTTGAAATGTACTTGTGCTGTGAACAGAAGGCCCATGCACATACCATCCAGATGGATTAGATCAGGGGTAGGCAACCTTGGCTCTTTTATGACTCATGGACTTTAACTCCCAGAATTCCTGAGCCAGCCATGCTGGCTCAGGAATTCTGGGAGTTGAAGTCCACGAGTCATAAAAGAGCCAAGGCTGCCTACCCCTGGATTAGATGGTAACTCCCAACCTTTTCAGTCAGCAGAACCAATAAAAATTATAACTGTATATATGTAAAAAGCATTAGATTAGATAAGGCTGTTACACATCAAATGATTTTGCCTGGTTACGTACACTTTCTATTATGCAGCATTTTATAGATATTTTTTTGCATTAAACATAAACATCCCTCAACTACCATGTACAACTTGCAGATAAGCCCATCTGCCGATAAGCTGACCCTCAAATGTTAAACCAAAATATCATGAAAGGTATGTCTCCTGCGGATAAGGCAATCCCTAACATTTTCATGTGTATAATTGATTTATCTGTGGGCGGTACGTTTTTCATGGTATTTTGATTGGAAATTCAAGTGTTGGCTTATCTGTAATATAAGGATACCATACTTTAAAAAGTATTACTGCATTTCACTCGCAGATAAGCCCATCTGCAAATAAACCAAACCCAGTTTTGGGGAGAGGTTGACAAACTAGGGTGCATTTATGTATAATACGTACATGCGTATATGCATGTATCTCTCTGTGTGTATATGTATGTGTGTGTGAGAGTGCATACATGTATATATATATTCAACTATGCAAAGAATTTAACAAGCATGTTTTATACTTCTTTTTAAATCGTTAAAGTAGCTGGACCTTCTCCCAAGCTTTGGAAACTGTTCCTGGCTGTTTCTTCATTTGGAACAAAGCAAGAGACAAGGCTTTTTTTTAACAACTTCAAAACACCTTTTTCAACTGCTTTGCATAATTCTATTACGATGCATATGTGTGTGTGTCATCTATCTATCTATCATCTATCTATCTATCTATCTATCTATCTATCTATCTATCTATCTATCTATCTATCTATCTATCTATCTATCTATCTGTTTCTGTGTGTGTGCGCTCCAACACTGGAAGTTTTTAAGAAGAGATTGGACAGCCATTTGTCCGAAATGGTGTAGGGTTTCCTGCCTGAGCAGGGGGTTGGACTCGATGACCTCCAAGGTTCCTTCCAAATTATTATTACTATTAATAATAATAATAATATGTGTGTATATGTGTGTGTGTGTGTATATATATATATACACACACACACACACAATGTATATGTGTACACACACACACACACACACACACACACACACACACCAAATGCCACATAGATCTGTATCACATTTGAATACCAGAGAAAAATACACCAGCAATATACCACTCACTTTTTATATAGGACAGCAAAGGGCTTTTTCAGGGCATACTATAAGAAAAAAACATTTTAGTTTAGAAGTAGCATTTAACAATGAAACATTCTTCAAATAAATGTTTTAAATAGAAAGGAAATATATTTGTTTAGGTCAACTTAGAACAAATAAACCCTAGATTAATGAGTGCCTGAGGGACTTCACCAGGCTTTAAGCTCACTAACAGGTTTCCAGCAATGGGTCTACCAAATAGCACTGCTAATCCCTTGCTGGCTCCTATAGCAACACTGACGCACAAATACTGTCATCTCACTACAAAAGTTTCATCTGAATCAGATCAATTACCTTTTCCCACAGGTGAGGGAACAGCAACATTATGTTAGCATCTGGTACCCTTCGCTGTTGTCCCCTTCTCATATCCTGAGGATTTTATTAAATAGGTGACACTTTGCTGTTGGAAGTCACTTTCATCCCACCCTTGCCAAGTTGGGGAGTTTTTCTGACAGAGTAAAAAAATGACCTCTCAGCTTCATGGAAGGCATCCTCCTCTGGAATGTTTTAAAACTGTATTTTCCTTTTCCCTTACCTACTTTTCTTCCTCCAGCTCTAACACTAGGATCTCCTTATAATGGGAGCCCTCAAGAAATAGAAATAAGTTAAGTGAATACAGATACCTTTAGGAAGGCAGAGTAAGGAGAATGAAGAGACAATACTGAGAAAATGCAGGTCTCCTCTGTAACACATGTAATGGCTCCATGCACTCTAGATTTGGGCTTCTAGTCAACGCAATTCCAGTATCAGTAACAAAAGTTACCATTCCCACAAATTCCATAAACTAATAGACTGCTATAGCAGGGGTCCCCAACCCCTGGTCCGTGGACCGGCACTAGACCGCGGCATGTCAGAAACCGGGCCGCGTAAACAAGCAAAGCCCCATCCACAGGATGCAGGCAGTACATGAAACCACGCCCCCTCCGGTCCACAGAAAAACCTCACTCCATGGAACCAGTCCCTGGTGCTCAAAAGGTTGGGGACCTCTGTGCTAGAGGACATATTTACCTTGTTGTCTTTCAAGGAAAATAAGACAAAAAACTGGAGCACAAAGAACTAAAAATCAAATGCTGAGATTTTAACCACTGAATTCCTAATTCATTGTGCTCCAGATTCTGGTAATAACTAGTTATAATGGTAATAATTGGCAACTGATAATAAAGCTGGGAATAATGCTATAAATAATTGTTCTCCAGAAGAATTATTTACAGCAATGGTTCTCAATCTGTGGTCTGCAGATCCCTGGGGGTCTGCGAAGGCTTGAAGAAATGTTACGATTTAAATCTTGAGTTAAGTCTTGGGGGTCTGGGGCCGTGGTCTGTGGTCACAAAAGATATTCAAAGGGAGTCCATGGTGAAGAAAAGGTTGAGAACCACTGATTTACAGTATATATTTTCTGGATCCAATCCCACAGACGTGCCATTACTTTTACAGAAATTTCTAAACATACTTACAATATTTTTGAGTACTTCTGTCACTGTTAAACTTGCATTTCCTCCTTTTATGAGCATTGCATTTTTGGTGTTTTCTGTCAGTTTAGGCTCTCTTTTTTCAAGAAATCTCTTGGCTCTCTTTGTTTTAGGTTTTCTGCCATGAAAAAAACAAACAAACAAATAACAAATTAAGTTTCACAAAATATTTAATCAAGACCTGTAATGCTGTTATTTTGTTTAGCACTTCTAAATGCTGCCCATCATAAAATGGCAACATGACAATTCATAAAAAATACAAAAATGATATAACCACCAGCAGAACATTATTGATGCAAACTGAATCTATGGATGAAAAGGGGAAAAGATGTCCAATGCATCTTAGAAAAACTACCTCTCAGCATGACCCACTGAAGAGAGGCATCCACAAGTCTAAAAGAATAGCCTGATTCACACCAGGTTGCCAAGGCTGGGTTTTTGATCCCAGTCTGGATGTCTAGGTTTTTATTTTAAAATTTATTTATTTTTATCAGTTGTATTTACAGTATGTATTAAATGGGTAAAAATAGTTGAAAACTGTTTTGTGTTTTTTGTTATCTAAGGTTTTCTGTACAGAATCTGGGTTTAGAGTGTGGCACTCTAAAAGGTAAGTTAAAAATAGGTAAAAATAATTTAGTTTAAAACTGATGCATTAAGTTTTTTTGTTATCTGTTCTTCTCTATAAAATCTGGGATTATTTGAGCCCCAAATTTTTTAGGAAACTCTGCTGGCAATCCTAGTTCATATGAGGTTTTTTTCCCTAGTAAATGACTGGTTTTTAAAGGATTGATGACTTCAGAAGTCACCAAACATAACCTACGGGAAATCAGAATGTGAATGTGCAATTGGTATGTCACCTAATGTTTATCTGTTTCAAATTGGTTACAGTGGAATCAGTGTCTGAAAATGTTGTATTCATATGTAATGAGAAAAACTTGCCATAAGATATAGAGCAGAAAGGTGAACCATGTGGGAGCCAGCATGCCACATATATGTAGAAACCCTTCCAAAAGGAACTCAGGTTTATTTTGTTTGCTTGCAAGCTTGTTACGTGCAAACTCAAAATTACATTTAAAACCGTAAATAAGCCAAGTACCAACCTTGGGTTATTTATTGACTGTGTGGCTATCTTGTTTACCAATTGGACAGAATTTATCTGAAATTACACTCTCCAATGCACACAAATGCCAACTCAAGAATTGGGCAAAATAAAGTTGAATATTTGTATTCCTCCTCTCATGCCCTATTTCTGCATAGGGAAAGAAAGAAAAGACTGGAAGGCTTGTTCACATTCTTTCCATGCATGCAAATAATGTAATTCTTGTTTTCTATTTTAAAGCAACATACATTTTTTTTATGTTTCTGGAAGAGACAACCTAAGAAGTGCTTGAAAAATTAAAACTAAGTTGCAATATTATTCCTGGAATCTCCCCTTCCTAACTGACCAATGTTTTTCTTCTCTCTAACTAAGATACTCCATATTCATACTGCAACGATGAAAAACAGCATATCTTAACTTGGTTTGTTGAAGCATGACCTCTTGCCATAGGTACTATGTACCCATCTCATCTCTTCATTCCTCACCTCATTTTACTCAGTAAACCAGTACAACTATACATCATCTTCTTCAGGATTTTTTTTTTTTGCAAGTTGAAAAAATAATTCTCCATCAGAACTACTACCACTCTCTCCAAAAATATTATTAACTTTATTTGATACACCAATGAATAAAATAAAAGCCAAACTTGTAATCATCCAAACACCGGCACGGAACCAAAACATCAGAGACCCAGAGGGTGTGAAACAAAGCAGGGGAAAAAGGCACTTACAAACAACTGTCAGATTATAACGACTGTATTTCATATCTGTCTGGTGTACAATTGGCACATACCCCCAAACATGGAGAGGCATACATGGTAGTACCACCTACCAAATAAACATTCGTTCATTTCACCTCATTTGAACTGTAACTGCAACGTCTCAGAGAAAATACACAAAACCTTAACACGAAAGTTTTAGAATTCAGAAACGTTCCTTAACAAAAACTGCAGTTTAGCTGCATCCCACCAAGAATTTTACTGTTTCCTCTTAAATAGTGCAATGGTTTATTTTTTTTTACCCGTTTCAAGACAGAGTGATGCTCCCGCAAAGCGTATTAGTGAACACCGGCAGAGTTGTAGACCCAGACCAGGTCGGAAAAAACCGATCGACTGGACGTTTAATTTAGATCAGTGTTTCTCAACCTTGACAATTTTAAGGCATGTGGACTTCAACTCCCAGAATTCCACAGCCAGCATTGCTGGCTGTGGAATTCTGGGAGTTGAAGTCCACATGCCTTAAAATTGTCAAGGTTGAGAAACACTGATTTAGATTGATATATTCAGGCATGCCACAAGCAGATTTCTACCAACTGAAGATAAGCGGCATGAGTTCGGGGTGCCCCGTGAAATCTCCTGCCGTGATAACCGCAAGCCTAAAACCGGTTCTTTCTTTTTTTCCGCATCTACTTGATAAAAGGCTGCGCATACCACTTTAAAAGTACAAAAATACTTTTTCCCCCCCTACGAGCCCAGAAATGCTTTCATTTAATAACCCCAAAAGGAAAAAGGACTCAAAACAGAGTCCAGTGCTGAAAACCCGGTACTTACACCACGCGATCTAAAGCCTCCATCTTCGCGGTAGAGGCTAGTGAACTGCACCCACGTGGACCAGACACACAGAGACACCGGAAAGAGTTATAAACCACGTTGTGACACCATATCCGCCGTGGTTTGAACATAGAGATAGAAAATGAAGCGCCTTAAGAAGCGGTGGTTCTTGAAGGTGTTATATTCAGTACACCGCATACACAATTTTAATCTTACATTAGAACAGTGTTTCTCAACCTTGACAATTTTAAGGCATGTGGACTTCAACTCCCAGAATTTCACAGCCAGCATTGCTGGCTGTGGAATTCTGGGAGTTGAAGTCCACATGCCTTAAAATTGTCAAGGTTGAGAAACACTGCATTAGAAGCAACAAATTACAGCCCAAGGAATTCATGCTTTGTACTGCGTTATCTCCTGCTTTTAGTTCACATTTTATTTGGGCAATTCATGGTGTTCCACTTAAGTTTCTAGAAGGAGTTAACGGTTCATTGTGCTTGTTTGTGCACATGCGCAAGGAGGTTATTGCTTGAAAATACATAGATTTTTTTTACCATAATTTGTAAATTATGATAAATGATTTTACATTATAAAAAGCAAAGGCAGCTATATTGGTCAAAAGGAAAAAGCCAAGTCCTTATTACAGTTGCATCTTTTATTGTATCAAAATCACAAAATAGGAAACAAGCTTGAGTTCTCCAGAATTCTTCACTAGACAAGATAGCAAGCAAAAGAAGTAACTTGGAGAAGGCAAGAGAAAGGAATCTGTAATCAAAACAAGGATTTTCAAGTTCAACAGAAGCCTCTCCACTTTCCACTTCCTTTGATAGACATACAGAGAACTTGGGAAATGTATGAGATCAATATCACAAAAGAAAGGTGATCCTAACAAAACTTTTACAGAATAATTTGCATACGAATTCAGAGTCTTTCTGATAATATGTACAAATCAGGTATCAGTCAATTTATCCTATACATTGATTGTTGCTCAAACAGCTTATATCAAAGTAGAGGCTCTTCTGAAGCAATGTTCTGACTGTTCTCTATGGAAGGATTCTCTATGATGGGATCTGGAGTATCCAAATGAGGTTCAGCATCATCTTTTGCAATGTCAAGTGGAATCCCAGGTTCCAAATTACAATCTGCATTTCCTTTGTCACTGGCTTCTTCCTCAGACTCTTCTGCCAGCTTATCCTGGGATTCAGCTGTTTCGTCATCTTTTTCATGCAAGAAATTGCAAATCGTGTTTGGTCTGCTGTATGAGAAGTCTTTGTCCCTAAGATCTAGCCATTCTATGCCACCTCCTGCCAAATTAAAAAGAGAGAAAAGAGATAGGAAGGAGTAAGAAGAAAATAAATAAACAAATGCTATTTTATTGAAGATTCGGTTTCATCCCTTATTCATATCTTGCTCTCCTTATCATCTCTTTTCTGGTTTCCCAGAAATGATACCACATGGTAAATGACGCACAGATTGAGAATGCTGCATAGCAAAAATCAAAGATTACTTGGCTGCTGCTTGTGATTAAAAAGATTCATGTTGAGATAATACTGCATTACAAAAATAAATATTGCATGAGCTACTACAACAAAACTTGAAAAAAACACCACTTCCAAATTTAAGGATTCTAAATCTAAGTGAAAAACAACATGAAATGGAAATATTTGTATCTCATTCATCTTCAATGCCAAGTCCCTCTTATGATTGGGTAATAGTGATTTGAACTCCAGTAATGGCAGATTTGGGTTAATCTGCAATAAATCTGACAAGTAATGTTAAAATGGATAAATGAAGGTAGATGGGATTCTTGCCCTTCCCAGACTGGCAAGATTATTATTCTGACATTAAACAGAACATACACTAACTCTATATTTGATTCTATCAGTTAAAGAGGTGGGAACATAAACAATCCTGGACATTTTAGTAACTAATTTATAAATATTTACAGTTCAGAATATTATGAACAACTGGTTAAGATCTCATTAGGATAACAGAAAGAGAGCTGCTGAGCTACAATTTTATAAAAGCTCAATTAAAGTAATCTGATGTCAAAGTGGTGCAAAAAAAGCATTTACAAGCCAGGAAAACAGCAATGTAGAGCAGTCTGCGACTGTTTTACAAAACAGTAATTTAACTTTGGCTTACAATGTTACACAAGCAATATTGTTATGTTGCTATGGTTTATAACAATGTATTCTGCAATATAATATTTATTCAGTAAACCTCATTTAAACTGTCTGTGAACCCAATTAAAGTAAAAAAGAGCAAAAAAGAAATATATAATATTAAGGGATCAGGTGGATATACCTAAAGTGTTTTTTAGACTGAGGAAACAAAAAATAAAGTTTTAGAAAAAGAGGATAATTTCTAGAACTTGAAAATCACCTATGTTTTCTTCCCCTTCCTTTTTCTCAATCAGAAGTGTCCTCGTCATGTTTAGTTTCTTCATTGTGTGGCATTTATATTTTAGTTGCAATTTTTGGTTGCCTTCCACATCTACTATCAGGAAAAAAAGCAAAATGTCATTTATTTTTTAAAAAACTTTTGAGATTCTGAAAAACTAATATACAAAATACTGCTTACCATGTTCATGGTTTTCCTCAAACACTACACATGTTCCAAGAGTATCTGAGGATGAGAGTAAACAAATTGCTGAGAGAAAATATAAACTTATTTTAAAGAGTAATATTTACTCAATTCTATGAAAGA